CCCCAAAACCCCAAAACCCCAAAACCCCAATTTCTTTAAGATCAGAAACAATATTATTTTATAATATTTCTCAAAATAAAATGTTAAAATCCCTAATAAACTGTTGTACTCAAAGATTCACCGGTAGGAAGGAGTCAAGTCCCTATCAAAAGTTCAAATACGAGGTATCTTTCTTGCAAAATTCCGTCTAGTTCCTTGAAGAATTCGAAAAGCTGGACAAAGTCTTAAAACCTCCAAGTTCTCAAAGCGTAAGTTTTCCTTTACACTTTAGCCTTTACTATTAACCTTGGTCAAGAAGATCAGGTCGGCTTCGTACAAAGACTCGATCAGCCAGAGAAATCTTCGTGAGATATTCAAGGAATGTACTGAGGACCAGGATACAGGGAAGGTGCCTCAGTCCACGATCAATATTCTGAGGTTTTTGAGACTGGATTATTTTATGGGAACGAGGTCGCATGAAGAACAGACTCTGCAGCTGCTGGACAGTCTGAAGGTGGTCACTTTTTTGGTGGTTTACAGTAGAGAGAGTGAGAAGAGAAGAGTGGCGTGACTTGTGGAATGGGTCATGGAGGAGGTCAAGAGAGGTGAGATAAAAGATACCAGTGACAATGATATGTCTTTCAGCGACAATGCCATCGACCACCAATTCAACAAATAAGGACCCTAAATGGCTCCAAATCCTCACAATTCTGCTCTCAAACACAATTCTTCCGTTTATATCTTACATTGAAGAGGACACTGAGGATGAAGCTTTTGAGATCTTTAAGAAGTATGCGACTACAAATCCCAACATTTTCTATGATTTTTCTCGCTATATCAATAAGAGATTGGCAACTGGAGAGCTAGTCCAGAACAGCAATGACCAAGAGAATGGTAAGCACAAAGAACAGAAGAAGATTTAAACTGGTTCTAGGAACTAGAATCAGAAGTTTAGGAAAAATTTAATAATTTTAGAGCATTTTGGGTTAGATATTAGGTGTTTTTAGGAGGAAATAAGGTTGCTTTTCTTGTTGAATTAGAATCTTTACAACTTGTTTGCGATTATAGATTTGTCCTCCTCCAAGCAGGGAATTCATAAGAGTAAGCATATAAGATAATTTATGAGAAGAATCAAAGAAGTTTCTCACCAAATAAAGAATTTGCGAAGGAGCTACAGAAGAATGCGAACATTATTTTTGAGCCTAAATAATATCAGAATCAAGTTCCTTCAATTTGTGAATTGACATAAATAAAAGAGCACTTACTATAAATGGAAAAGAATTAGAAGAGCATCCAATAAAACCAACAAGACTTAGAAGAGGTAATATGTGTTCCCATTTTTTAGACTTAAGCCAAGAGTACCTAAAATCCCCTGTTAGGGTAGATAATTGAGAAAACTTCACCAATGCTGCACAAGATCATTTTAATGTATTTAGTGATCAATATGACTTTTCTAATAAGAACCGAAAGGATCATTTCGAAAATAAGTCACAAAAACCAGAAAACTTTAGTAAGCCTCTTGCCTAAAATATGAGGAAATTTACCAGAATTTGCTAAACTAGGTAGAGAAGAGAAGGATCCCTCCCAATTAGCTTCACAAAAAGGTAATTATTCTTATTATCCTTTAGAAGAAAGTCCTCTAGCAGATTTTGATGCATCAAGATCCTATTATAGGATGGATGACACGATAAACATTCCCAGGAAATCAAATTTATCTAATATATCAGTTGAGATGTACTCCCAATTCTCCTATATCAACCACGAAGATGAGATCAAGGAAAAATTTGGGCCTAAACTTCTTCTGATCTATGAAAATCATTTTGAGAAATATGAGATAAATGGAAAGTACCGCTGAAATCTAGACGATTGAAAGATTCCTTACCTTCAATCCCAAATGATTCATAAACTAGCTGAATCTGATGGTGAAGAGCAGCAGCATCGATTCAGTCACTCATTTAGAATCAGCTCATCAAGGAATAATCCTGATTATTCTTGTGATTTTGATACAGCCTTGGAGTATCTAAAGGGAGTCATTAAAGCAAACACCACTCTTGATGACATGCATCGTTTTTACAAAGGAGAGTACTTCGGAGAAGGCATTATCAATACTTATCTTAGGTTCCTCGATGTCTATAGTGAGCTTCTAGCTACACGTTACTCAGGTGAGTGAAATTAGGGCTCTGGGGGAGGTAGTTGCCATCAAAGATTGAACTTGGGGTAACTACATCTTTCAAAATCAGAATATATCCTTTGCTTAGGAAATAGCTCATGCCTTTGTAATCCACAAGAGAAAATTCATTTAAAATCCTATAGAAGCTTTTGGAGACCAAGAAAGTAAAAACATGAAGGGAAAATTTGAATATCCTGGTCAAAAGCACCAGAAAATTAAGATATTTGAGACAGATATTTTAGAAGAGTTCTTCAAAGAGATGGATTCAGGAGTCATCTCCAAAGAGCTTGATGAGGAGTTCCAAGATCTTTTTGATTATAGCTTCATGATGGTGCCGATCTTGGTACATAATTCAATGTTTATTATATAGAAAGAAAGCCTTCTTACTCTCTTTGTAGTTGAATTTGGAGAAAAAGTTATCGATGTCAATCTCTATTTCCTTGAAGATAGACTACTACAAGAGGATGAAGGTGAGTGTAAGTAATTATTCTAGAAAATATGTCCCAATTAAGTGATCTCATCCTTGACTTGCTTAAGAGAGCATATGATACTGTCGGATCAGAATTTGATGAAGAAGCAGTCACTGGCAAAAGCATATCGTAAGTTAGTTTCTTAATTTATAGAGTTAATACCATTGCAGATATGGTATACCAAAATTCTTAACATATAGCTCCAAGTCGCAGAAGATTATGTTCTAGGAAGGCAAGAAAAGAAGCACCACCAGCCTGCTTCAGAAATCAGGCATAAAATTGTGGATAGACTGCTATCAGTTAGATTAATATAGCCAGATTCAATCTATCTTACCCTTCTCGGGGTTTTGGGGTTTTGGGGTTTTGGGGTTTTGGGG